AAGGAAGGAGATCACAATGTGTACATATATATATATGTTTCAAATTTTGGAAAAACTTATCTATGTTCAACTTTTTGAAAAACGTGGGGACTTGCACGTCAGGACCCTAACATATAAATGAAGCAAACATAGAGTTCACAAATGAAGATGACTAATTAAATAAATGTGAAAAGTTGCTGTTTTTAGAATAGATAAATTTGTTATTACATTATACACACACACACACACACACACACACACACACACGCACGCACGCACGCACGCACGCACGCACGCACACACACACGCGCGCACACACACACACACACACACACACACACACACACATATATATATATATATATATGTATATATATCATATGCGGATACTGAATAACTACTCGCGCAATTTGCGCGAGGACGTAAAACTTGGATTCGTCATGCGAGTCTTTTTACGGGAATAGTGTTGTTCGTTCGAACGGCTCGTTAAGCAGTGGTAGCGGCATGCAGAAACATGCGATGTACCTTTAAATCTGGGCACGAGAACGTTTGCGCACAGTCGTAACAAACAGGGCCGACATGCAAGCGAATAAACGATTGTCGGCAGCGCACGTAGAATCCGAAAAGCGGGTTAATGCTCTCACCACACGCGAAACAACTTCCTAAAATAATCGCCCGCTTCCTCTGTAACCACCGATTCTGGCACACCGCAATATTCCGAATTCATTTGTGCCAGTTAATTGGGATTATTTTCAACGTGTGTTTCTTTTTGATGCTCATATGAGGCAACATTGATTCTTGAAATGACGAAAATTCATAAAAAGAATGTATCTCGTGTTTTATGAATTTCTCTACTAAATATGATAATAAAAAAATTGATATAAATCAATTTATGTTTCTTTTCTACAACAATTTCAATGATGATTTCGTTCTGATATTGTTTAATAAAAGATGCTAATAAAAAGACAAAAAAATATAATACAATAATATTTTGATATATTAGATTTTTTAATTGTACTATCATTAAATTTAAATTTAATATATAAATTATCATATGCAAAATATAGTTCTTTAATTAAATTTTGTTGTATAGTTTGTTTTTTATAATAACATGACATGTGCAGTAATTTCAAAATTAACGATTTAATGGTATCATTTTTAATGCTGAAGTCTTTTTTTCTTCAGCAAAATATAACGAGAGAAATTAATTATTTAACGGAACTTTTAAATTCATTAAAAAGTCTCGATAAAAAAATTCTCATTGAATTATCGAATAACTCAAATTCAAACTTTATTGAAATAAAATTCAGATTATATCTATTATATGTTGATAGACAATTAAATTGAAGACTAAAAATAATTTATTTGCTTAAATTTAAATTCTTTAAGTTTTTTCAATATTTTACGCATCCATAATTTTTTTTAGATTTAACTCATTTATTTTTAAAATATGCATGAGTTGATTCGGAATATTTTTATACTAAATGGCACATGATCCATCGATGCCGTCGATAGCCAGACATGAAATGTTCCTTTCGCGAATTCATTTGCCTGGCTGACCCATATTCTTCCATATCCAAGTATCCGCTGCATCGACTGCTTCCATCGTTTTGTTCTTTTTCTTTTTTTTGTCTCGAAAATCAGTCTGTGACTGGCGCCAGAATATTTCGATGCGGCCTTCTGCCTCCTTCTTTGTCTACCTCAAGCGAACGATTCCGTTCCTTTATACACTCGAATGTCTTCGATATACATCCGCCGTTCACTCTTAATTTGCGTGCTATCATTCTTTATTGTAGAGTTAATTCGCGTTCTTTTGAAGATTTATTATCCCCGAAACAATAGATGCGATATATAATTATTGTTTACAATACTGATGAGAATTGTCTTATATTATACAGAGATAATTTTTGTATGAAATTGAATTATTTAAAATTTTTTTTTAATTTTACAGCCGCAATCATCATATCAACAGTACTTGAGTGTGCGTATGATTCATGAATTTTTCATTTATTATTTCGCCAATATAACGCATATTTATTAAGAAATAGTCAAAAATAGACATATATATCATGGTTTTTAATAACTTTTATTCAAGAATTTGGAACTGATTTTTTAAAATTGAAATTTTATAAATGTACATTATTATCGCAGATTTTTTTTATTTACAGTATTAATTATCTCCTAACTAAATATTGTAATTAAATAAATATTAAAATTCTAGCCAATTAGAATTTGTTTAAAATTTATTAAAGAATAAATCATCTGTTTGACTCTAAAAGTACAAATAAATAAAATTTAGTTTTTAATATATAATGAATATAAATATCATAAAAAAATCAATTCTCGATACATAGATTATTTAGACCAAAAAACATTTATTGCATATAATGATAAAGTAACATTTTGTAATAAGATTTTATGTAGATACACATATGATTTTTTAATTTAAATGGGAAAAAAGTGCCATATTTTTCATTTCTGCCGTAAAAATTGTATGCGTGCTCCTCTCACATTGATTAACATTAATAATTATTAATAAAATAATTATTTCATAATTATTTTAAAATCAAAATCTGAATTTGACAATAATGCGCAGCACATGTTCATGTTTAGACTGATATGTTGAACGATGAGGATCGAAACAATTAATTCGTTTATCGCGGCGATAATATCGTCATTTTAGTGAAATTTGCGGAATGTATTCAATAAGTGTGAATTACAGATAATTAAAGCTCAATCGCGAACTTATACAAGTGGATCAAAAATAACACGAGAATCATTTAAATCATATAAATTATGATATCGCGTGCTCATCATTCTTTATATTCTTGTCCGGGTATTAGTAATATATGTATATTCGAACGAACAACGAACTGTCTGATTGACTTTATGTGGACGGACGATTGAGAAAAGTTTGCGCCAATGTTATCGCGTGATTAATCAGAGGACTTGTTTTATTCTAGCTTTATTCTAGCTTTATAACTCTCATGAACAAAAAAAGAAATATTACGATTACGCGGCAAATGTTAAGTTGGCAAACGTTAAGTAAACTAAGAGAATGTCATTTGACATTTCTTTTCTTTCGATCATTTGAAAACTTTATCTACTACATATATATTACATCGCATTGAAATATGTTATCTGGAAGAAAAATATAATCATACTTTAATAATTTATTAGATTGCTCATTTTTATATATTATAATTAGTTAAAAAGGTTTATAAATATTTACAATTTGTTATATATTTTCATGTAGCAAGATAAGATTATTAAATCAACATCGAACATTTAATAACAATCTATGTGTTTTATTGATCGTCGATTTATTGGACAAGAATGATGACTGCATGTTTTATTGAGACGTCATTAATTGACAGTAAAAAAATTCTACGAAAATAATACGATTGATCGCGGATAGTAATTTCCAGCGAAAAAATATACTGTCTACGAAATATGTAATAACTATTATAAATAAGCAATGATATACGCGTCCTAGTCCAAGGATATCCCACGAAAATTCGTGAAAGCAGAAATAGAGACAGACCGAAAGAAATGGCCCCATATCGTGGCGCCGTTGAATTAATTATTTAGCTGCTCTGTATGAATAATTCAGATTTCGGCGGACGGGATGAATCTTGACCAAGGAAACTTTACGAAAGAGGCAGAAGCAGGCAAATGGAATTGCTTTTTGATTTATGATTAGTATCGCCATGCAAAATATTCGCTTTGTAAATTAATAATTTTTTCAAATGTTCATGTATAGCGATAATAATATATATAAAAAATTATTTACATTATTACACTGAACACTTGAAGCAAAATAATATCGTAAACACTTACATAAGATGCTTTCGAGTCTCCTAATCTTATAGACGCTTTACCTAAAATATTCTCGAATCATAAATTATAAATTTTTTAAAATGTAAGAGGTGTATCTTAATTGAAATCCACAGCAAAATAGGAATAAACATAAATTATAATGTAAGAGATATCAGATGAAGATGAGATTGAATCGAAACTTGAATATTGTTGTTATTAAATTGTTATTATTGTTATCGGTTTATTATTTATTTGTTTTTAACAAAAAGAAATCTTAAATGTTCAAGAGAGAAAATCTAATATGAAGAGGTATGTTTCATTATCAATATACATTGTATATGATCATATATGATCAATGGAATATTATTATTACACATAAATGATATGTATGAGTTAACCTTCTTTGCTTACATTTTTCTTTATCGCATGTTTAATCTTACTTGATTAATTCTACTTTCCGCTTTCGCGTCACACGCATGTATGGCAAAGCCGAAATGTCGCGTCGAGTGGACGATTCATTGCATGAGTCAGCCCTTGTAATAGGTAGAGCGTGTCCGGGGTATATTAATTATTGTTGTCTTATTTATTAAGAATAGGAACAAATTTTTTTCTATTAATTTAACATTTAATGTATTAATATATTACTATACATGTATTATTATATATCATGTTTATGGCTCGTTTAATTATTAAATTTTATGCACATTAAATCACAGAATAATCGAAGCAAATATCAACTGCGAATTCTCTTCTCGTAAATATTAACCACAAGAACCTGTTACTATAATTTAACTTGTCAGATAGGAAACATAATAATTTTCGCATCTATATTATATTTTAATTATTGAGCACGAAAGACAGAGAGAGAGAGAGAGAGAGAATTTAAAATATTAGCTAACCAGCAAGTATATATAATATTTTTCAAGTAAACACGATCTTCTATAATATACATATAGATATGAATAACATAAATAATTGAACTATACATGTATCTTTATATTTATGTTCTAATATTATAATAATTTATAAAAAGCTCGAGAAAAAGATTGAATACTGAAAGAAGATTGATTATACACTGAAATTGATTTCACAGTAAAAAATGAAAAAAAGAAATAATATAATTATTATATATAAAATTCAATCACATAATTATTAATTACAATGCGTGATTTTAATCTCCACGATTTTTTTCTATATTTCAGGATACTTTGGCAAGTATTTGAACAAATACAACGGCTCGTATATACCGCCGGGATGGCGAGAATGGGGCGGTCTTATAATGAACTCGCGTTATTACAACTACAGCGTCAATATGAACGGCAAGAAAATAAAGCACGGTTTCGAGTACAGCAGGGACTATTATCCGGACCTGATAGCCAACGACAGCGTGGCTTTTCTAAGGCAGAGCAAACACAATTTCGCCCGGAAACCGGTTATGTTAGTCGCAAGCTTTCCTGCTCCGCACGGCCCGGAGGATTCGGCGCCGCAGTTTTCTCATCTCTTTTTCAACGTCACCACTCATCAGTGAGTACGACAAACTATCTAGTCGCGTTTGTATGCGCGTTTTTTGATCCGTAATAAAAATTTGTTTGCAAATCGCTTTGCTTCTCCATGCGATTTATTAATTAAATTCACTATATATGTATATAAAAAATATTCTATTAAAAACATTCAAATATATATTCCTGGATAAAATTAACGCATATTTTTTTCACTTTTTCTTTAAAATTTAAATATCAGCTTCTAAAGAAAAAGTGAAAAAGTTATGCGTTAATTTTGCCCAGGAATATATATATATATATATATATATATATATATAAAATATACATATATATACATATATATAACATATATATGTATAATATACATATATAAAATTGAATAAAATTATACTTATACTGTGGGACAAATTCTAAGATTTATAACTTGCTCTATTTGAAAAAAGAATATTGTATTAAATATTCTATCAAATTATATATATATATATATATATATATATATATATATATAATTTGATAAAATGTTTAATACAATATTCTTTTTTCAAATGAAAGAGCAAGTTATAAATCTTAGAATTTATCCCACAAGTATAAGTATAATTTTATTCGATTTTATATATATGTATATCGTCCTATATAGCATTCATAATGTTTGAAATTTAATTCTCGTGTCCCCGATTGGCCTCGATGTTATTTACATGTTATTTATATCATATGTACACGTATACATATACGGTGTAAAAAAAATATCATTTTTTATCAGGTTTTATATCTACCGCATAAAATCAAAATTAAATAATCAGCGATATAGTTTTGATCTTGAATATTCATTTAAATCAATTGATTTTTAATAAGATAAGAAATTTAAAAAAGTCACATTCCGTTATCAAGATTATTTTTAATACAAGTTTGACATTAATTATAAATAGTTATAAATTAAAATAAATGTATTGTAACATTAAACAAATTAACTTCGAGAATATAAAAAAAATTATATGTGGTCGCGCAATATTAATCGCGAATTATATTATTTTATTTCGCGTGTTCCATATATAATCTTCGGAAAAAATACATAATCCTCTTTACTTTTCATGGTTTTACGTCCATCGTTCGCGATTTTCTCCTCGTTAAAATATCCGTTTTGAAAGAGCTTATTTCTGTCACCTTGATTGCATTTCGCGTTGACTTTATCACTCCAGGACGAGATATAATTCAGTATCAAAAATATCATACAATGAGAATTTCGAATTATCTATATTTCCATGACACATTATTTAATTTGCGATATGATAAAAGGATATAACAATATTTGGAAATTAAAAAGTTTGCACTTTCCGCGATAAGATTCTGACAGTCAATTTAAATATTTCGAAAGTCTATAAAACAGTAAAAGTGTTATATATACGATTCCACGTTTCTTTCAACGTTATTCCAAATCATTTTGTTTTGATATTCGAAGTCGATTCATTCGCGTCGATGTTATTATGACAACCGTAACCTTCATCAAACCGCACACATGTGGACATCTATTATTTTTCGTTGTGGCAGCCACTTTTCTCTTCGCTCCCGTTAACGCGAACATGCACAATAAGGACTGTCCTCCTTTAGATATAGAAAAACGGAAGGATGATCCTCGCGACGTCAATAAACCGCTTTCTCTCCGCGCTTCTCATTCTTTCCCCCGACAATACATCGAACGCTTAAATTCGTACGTTTATCTCTGACTGCGTAAAAAAAACTACATCTCTCTGAACATTAAATACACAATTAGAAGAGGCGCATAGAAATAGAAAACGCGAACGAATTTACATCTGTCGGAGTGAAGGGCGCGTCAACGCGTATAGGTCCTAGACTAGACAACGATGGGATGGATATCCGCAGCGAAGGTATTATCATCGAGAGTGATGGAGTACCCTTACACATCACACCAAGAGCATGGTGAAAAGGGGAGTGAGAAACGCGTCCTTCTAATGGCCCTGCAGCGTTATTGTGCGTCCATGAAACAGGTGTAATTACGCACACCTGTGTATCTACTGCAATGAGAAAAATGAATTTATGTGTCGAAAAATTCGTTTTTCAGTCTCTCCAGATTTCGTTTATCGACTCAAGATACGATGAAATGTTGATTACATGATAATAAATAGAATAGATGCGGTGAATGATGGCTATGAAACGTCATAATTCATTTTGGTGATCTTTTTAAAATCAGAATTTTTAAATGAGAAAATATACACAATTTACATCAAGCACTTTCGATCGACTGTCGATTACTCTAAGAATTTAAATACGATATAATGTGACGATATATATATAATGCTGGTCATCAATTTTCATACACTAGAGATGCAGTTAGATATAAATTACTTCTCATAGAATAAAAATGTGACAAATTATTTACTGATTTTAGTATACGAATTAAAATGAGTAAGTGTTAAGTAGGCAAGCAGAAAAATCAATTCGTAAATTCTTCAACCCCATTAAAAGCGATTGCTTGAGAAATAAACTTTTCGAATGCATTCAATTAGTCTAGCCATCTTTATTTATGCACTCTAGAATTTATGTTTGCTTCATTTTTGTGGTGAGGCCCAAATATGCAAGTCCTCACTTTTTCAAAAAATTTTCACTTTTTTCAAAAAATTTTCGACATTAATACCAAATTGCCTAATAAAACGTAATGTAACTTAAATATAACTTAAATCCAACTTAAACCTAAATTAAATCTATCTTAATTATACTGCTGTAATTCGTTCTTGGTATGTTATAATGTACCAAGTATATTTTCGTTTACGAGAAATAATTCCTATTTGACTCCATCTAGTGTACAAAAGAGATATTATATTTTGAGATGCAGTCTGTTCAATGCTCGTGTAACAACGTTCTCGGTCATATTTATTTTCATATTCTAGATGAAATCAAATGTAAATTTTTTTTCTAAACGAAAATAAAGAAGTAGAACAATAGGCCTCATGATGAGATCTCATTTGTTGCCTCGATATGTTGATGGGATGATAATAGAGTAAATGGGGTGAATGATAGCTATAAGAAATCTTATTATATATATTTAATTATTTCAGCGATCTCTTTAAAATTATAATTTTTAAATGAGGAGAAATATACGTATTTACGTCGGGCGACGTAATGATCTCGATCGATTCATTCATTAGCTCTAACGTACATTAAGTGTGGATATTCAAAATAAGCTTCCACATCTATTCCCGTGACAGCAAATTTCTAGTGCCAAGTTTCGCAGAAAAACGACATGCAAAAAATTGCAAGCCAACGCGTCGCGTTGGTGTCATTGTTGTCTCTCATCAGAATGAATAAAAAGAGTTTTTGGATCACGTATACGTCCCCGATATCATGCAATTCATTTTCTATGGATTGTCAAGACGCGAAGGAAAAACTCGTCGAAATTTCATGTTATTTTGTGATCAAGAGCAAAATTTCGCCAGGTGATCTATCGTATTTAATGTTAAATATACACTGTGAAAATATATCAACAAGAAAGAAACGCGGGGAAGAAATTGCGATGATGAAGAGAGTTCGCAGACTGCTGTCATATATATCCGTGTGGGCTTTCGCAAAATCAATTAACGCCTGGATATTGTAAACTATATTTAATTATGGTATCACATATTATATATGCGCAACCATGCGGTCGGAAGGTGTGGACATTTTAATATCGAGGTTTTAATTCTGCTGTTACATTACGCCCCATTCTCGTGTCGCGCCACTCAAAAGCTAATCGACCGAAATTAATGTCGAATGGCATGCAGAATAACGTGCTTTCAGAGCGCTTTTATTGGCGCACCTTTAAGCAATCAGTAGCCGAACGATAATCTAGTTCTCTTTCGATTAAAGGAAATTGAATGCATCGCAAGACAACATTATTGTAGATTAATGATAGGCATTTCATGTCAATGATAATTTGATAATAATCGGAGTTATGCAACTACGTTTCACTGCAAAACATTACAATTCAAAATACTAATAGCATGCTTTCTTAAACAGTCTCATTGTTTTTTCTAATATTTCTTATATAATATATTATACTTATGTATATAATCTTTTTTTACGAGATATTTATTGATTAACTTGTATAATAATAATTATCAATTGTAAAACCATAAAGAAATATATTTATCATCAAGAGAATATATGATAGCTAATGGCAACTGACTAAAATTCATTTATAATTCAATATATAGGTAGTCGTATGAAAAGCTTAATGATAAATATCTTGTGCATTTCAACTTAACTCTTACGCGATTTCTCTAAAGTGTTAATAGTTCGTCGCGATTCGAAACGTTGAATACAAATAATCTCATTATTTATGCGTATGAGTTTTGCTGCATATACATGCTCATAAATGTACCGTATATGACGTCGTCTGTGCCTCGTACATCAATAAAATCAATTTTTATGTATCTCGTAATATCCTATCGTTTCTTTTTGCGAATCACTCCAATATTTTATAAATTACTGATTTATCATTTATTTACGTGCACTATTTCTAGTTACATATAATCTAAAACAATATAATATAATATTTAAGACAACATTTTATCGAATATTTCGAAAGGAAATATGTTGTTGAATTGCAATTAATAATACCATAAGTAAGCGAATGAAACAGTATCAGTCTTTAAGTCTTATCTAATATTATCAAAAACCTGGAAAATATTAATTCGTAACTTCTGTTTCAATCTCATCATTAAAGGCGATTGCTTGAGAAATAAACTTTTTGAATGTATTCAATTAGTTTAGTCATCTTTGTTTATGAGCTCTACAATTTATGTTTGTTTTATTTTTGTGAGGTTTGGGCGTGCAAGTCTCCACTTTTAAAAAAAATTTTTAAAAATTTCACTTTTTCCAAAAATTTATTTCTAAAAAATTTAAAAATAAATAAAAGTTATAAATATAATAAATATAAATAACTTTTTACATGCCAAATTATAACTTAAATCTAACTTAAACCTATACAGGTATAATTCGTTTCTGGTATATTATAGTGTACCAAGTATA